ATCATCATCATCATCATCATCATCATCATCATCATCATCATCATCATCATCATCATCATCATCATCATCATCATCGTCCGTCATCATCATCATCATCATCATCATCATCATCATCATCATCATCTTCATCATCATCATCATCATCATCATCATCATCATCATCATCCTCATCCATTCATCAGCAGTGTCATCATCATCAGCATCTCATCATCATCAGGCTCATCATCAGCCTCCTCCTCCTCCTCACCCTCCTCCTCATCCTCCTCATCATCCTCCTCATTATCATCATCATCATCAGCATCATCATCATCATCAGCAGCATCATCATCATCATCATCATCATCATCATCATGATCGTCATCGTCATCGTCATCGTCATCATCATCATCATCAGCAGCAGCATCATCATCATCAGCATCAGCATCATCAGCAGCATCATCAGCAGCATCATCATCGTCATCATCATCATCATAATCAGCATCATCATAATCAGCATCATCAGCAGAATCATCATCACCATCATCATAACCATCATCATCGTCATCATCATCATAATCATCATCATCCTCATCAGAATCGTCAGCATCATCATAAGCATCAGCATCATCAGCATCATCAGCATCAGCAGCAGCATCAGCATCATCATCAGCATCATCACCACCACCACCATCAGCATCATCAGCATCGTCAGCATGAACAGAATCACCATCATCAGCAGCATCAGCATCAGCATCAGAATCATCATCAGCATCAGCATCATCATCAGCTTCATCATCATCATCATCATCATCATCATCATCATCAGCATCATCATCATAATCATCATCATCATCATCGGCATCATCATCATCATCATCATCATCAGCAGCATCATCAGCATCATCATCAGCAGCATCAGAACAATCAGCATCATCAGCATCATCATCAGCATCAGCATCAGCATAATCAGCATCATCAGCATTATCATCATCAGCCTCAGCAGCATCAGCATCAGCATCATCAGCATCATCAGCATCGTCATCAGCATCAGCAGCATCATCATCATCATCATCAGCAGCATCAGCATCATCATCGTCAGCATCATCAGCAGCATCGCCATCAGCATCATCAGCAGCATCAGTATCATCAGCATCGTCAGCAGCAGCATCATCATCATCAGCATCATCATCAGTATCATCATCAGCATCAGCATCATCATGAGCATCATCATCATCATCATCAGCATCATCATCATCAGCCGCATCATCATCGTCATCAACATCATCAGCAACAGCATCAGCATCAGCATCATCAGCATGATCATCAGCAGCATCATCATCAGCATCATCATCGCCACCACCATCATCAGCATCATCATCATCATCATCAGCATCACCACCACCATCATCGTCATCGTCCTCGTCATCACCATCACCATCATCATCAGCAGCATCATCAGTATCGTCATCATCAGTGTCAGCATCATCATCATCACCATCTGCAGCATCATAATAATAATAATAATAATACTCATCATCATCATCGGCAGCATCATCATGTGTATCCTTCTGCCGCCGCGCTGGGGGGGAGAGGAGGAGGAGATGAGGGAGGGGGAAGAGAAAGAGGTGGCGAGAAACAATTGAGAGCAATGAGAGAGAGGGGGAGCAGGAGCAGGAACAAGAGGAGGAAGAGGAAAAGGATGAGGCTTCATTGGATTTCCTGAAGGGATCTGTAGTCGTCGAAAGCTGGATGTTCCAGGCGGGGAACGAGCACAGGGAGGGTGAGAAGGAGGCGGAGGCGGAAGAAACATTGCAATTACGCGGAGGATTGGTTTCCTTCTCGAGCCCCGTTGTAACGCACTCCACGGGCACTCAAACTGAGAAGGCCAGAAGGCAAAGGAGAGCGACCTCCCGAAGACGCCAACGTGTACGGATGGTACACGGCCGTAGGCTGACACCCTGGTCAACAAGCTAAGGCAACATCCTTCACATGATAAAACTCTTGATGCAGATACAGTGGAGGCCCGACAACAAGAAACCTTCCACAGGAAACCCAACCCTGAGACCCCAGGACGTCCCTTGATGTTTGGCGTGGGGGCGTCGCGCTTTCCATCGCAAAACCATCGAACCCCAAGAAGCCCAGGGCACCCTGGAGGCAAGCAGGGTGTTTCTTGGCATGGGCCTCCACTGTACGCTCACGTTCTGGCTCTCAACAAGCTTCCCGTCATGCCTCACTACTTGCGCGCAGCCCTTGGCAAGAACCTCCGCCCTGGCCCTCGCCCTCGCCCACGCCATCATGTGCCCTGAACTCGCCCAGTGGTCGTGCACCAGTTCTCTGTGAATCCATCCTAACCACGCCCACCTCTTCGCCCATCGTCCTCCAACACAACCTCTCCTGCTCAACATCACTTCTCATGTTTCCTCCAAATCTGCCCTTGGACCATCCAGGTGTCGATTCTGGCGATAATTCCGATTCGAATCCAGCCCTGGGCACGATGAGCTTCCTGAAGCAGGCAAACGGCCAAAAGAATATGTACAAGCCTCGATCCTCAATCCAGTTCCCCTAGCACCGACGCTTTCCGCGGCGCGCGCACACCCCCTGATCAGCACGAGCCTTGCGCCGATGGTGCAACGACAGCCACGGCCCAGTATCGGGGATGGACAGACCCCCCTTTAGTAAAACGTGGTTTAGTGAAAACGACCTGAGGCCCAAACCTGGCGGGTGCAAGCCTGGAAAATAACGGCAACGGCGCCCTCTCGAAAACCGAAAACGGACAATTCACTAATCGACGTGTCACTGTTGGGGGTTCTGTCCACCCCCGACAGTAGCAGACCGCAACGTCATCCTCCGCCGCCTCCTCGTCCTCCCCCCCATTCCCCCTCCGTCTAACACTTACATGGTGCCTCCTGCACGACCACGAGCGGGGAGGGCAGGGGGCGGCCAAGAGAGGGGCGTCAAAGAGGGGGGGGCGCAAATCGTGGCCAGCGGCACCTGCGCGGCCCCGGGGGGGGGGGGGCCAGGGACGCAATGAGGCCAAAAAAGCGCCATGAGATCTGGGGAACTAGCATGGCCCGCGCCGTGATATCCACCCCCCCTAGTCACCACCTCCCTATTTGCCACCCACGAGAGCGCGTGCGCGACGGTTTGGACGCCCGAAATGGGTACGGAAACAGAATGGGTACAGTGCCCAACAACACATGCTGTCCCAAACCAACAGCGGCCGCTGTTGGGCAGGCGGCCTCCTGCCTCCAACGGACACAGCCGCGACGGCGCGGACAGCGAGTCCGGCTCAAAATGAACAGGAACTGCTGTTGGGCATTGTACCCATTCTTTCCGTACGGTAGGTTCGTGCGGCGTTGGCGCGCACAAGGGTTTTTGACACCGCGTCGATCGTTCAACCTTGAATCGATCGCGAACCCGACCGTTCAAGGTTGAATTCCGTCTGGTCTAATGGCGTTACCGTGTCCATCGGTGCTGCCGCGTCGCGGAATTAAACCTTGAGCGCCTTCGCCGGCGTCGCTGGCGCGCCAACGCCGCGTGAACCTACCGTACCCGCTTCGCTCGTGCCGAGACGGGGGGTCCGCGTGCGGCTCCCAGGCGCCCAACCACGGCTTGTCCGGCGACTCCTCGCCCCCGCCCTTGCTGCCGTCGTAGGCGACGTGCCACGAGCAGTCCGCCGCGCGCTCCTCCCCCCTCGCGGGGTCCGCGGGACCAGGGCCAGGGGGGGAGGTGCACTGTCTCCCCCGGGGCCGCGGGCGACCCGCCGAGGAGGAGGGAGGAGGAGGGGGGAGGAGAGGAGGAGGAGGAGGAGGAGGAGGACGAGGAGGAGGAGGAGGAGGAACCAGGGAGGAGGAGGAACGAAGGAGGAGGAGGGGGAGGAGGAGGAGGAGGAGAACGGGTCGCCTAAGCACTTCGAGGACCCCTCTTGTGGGGAGGGGTCCGCGCGGACGGCAAAAGGGGGGGCAGCAGAGGGGCGCCGCGAGGGGCCGCACGAGGGCTCGGAGATTCAGCTGACGCTAGGGGGGCCAACGTATCCAGAAAAGTGCCCAGCGGCGGGACCGCAAAAACAGCTGCACGTGGCACATGTCGTACCCGCCCCCCCCCCGCGCGCCCGATTCCCCCCTCTCATCCGCGTCGGACGACGATGCAACGCTTCGGGCACGAACCATCAAAAGGGAGTCCGGGACGAAAACCTGCCCCTTGGGGGTGGGGGCCGAGACCTCTGGGACCACGGATTGGAGAGTCGGACCGTCGCGGGACCGCCGAAACCACTGGGACTGCTAACGAAATGAGCCCTCGACTGCATGCGGATGTTTGATTTCGGCCTTCTGTGGAGCTCCTGTAGGGCTCGAGGAGCGTGGCAGGGGTGTGCCAGGGCAGAGACAGGAGGGAGGAGGGGAGAACCAGGAGGACGCGGGGCGCGGTTGATTCAAAACGAAAGCCCAACACCACTTGACGGTTGGGAAACATCTACATATAGGATGAAAGAGGTAGAGAGAGAGCTGTATACATATATATGTGTGAGAGAGAGAGAGAGAGAAAGAGAGAAAAAAAAAAAAAAAAAAAAAAAAAAAAAAGAGAGAGAGAGAGAGAGATGAGCAAAGAGATTAAGGAAAAAACAGTGAACCCGCATTATAAGGACGCACGATAAGGAGGCAAGGGCCTTGGAAGGCCATGTCGACGCTTTGCGGACTGGGCGGGGCCAGCAAAAGCGGCCAAGGATGGGCCGAAGGGGAAGGATGCAAGGGTAGACTTGGGAAGTTGCTCACCCAATGCGGGTTGACTGAATGCAGAGAAGAGTCAGCAAGGAGCAACCCAGAACAACCGCAATAATGGCGGCGCCGATCTGCAGGCAGAAGCCGACCTCGTTCGCGGACCAACGCTGGCAAAACATTTCCCTGCCTCTGGCTCCTCCCTCCGCAGTCCTCCTCCCTGGACGGCGCGGCAATTTCTGACGAGTCCATGGGCCCGTTCGCTACAATCCGATCCTTCCCCCTGCTCCACCTCGTCCCCACTCCTACTCTCGTGAGGTCTCTGGAGGTCTCCGGAAGACTACAGAGGTCGCTGGAGGACCCCAGGAGGGCCCTGGAGGCTTGTCCTCCTCCTCCTCCTCCCTCCTCCGCCCGTTCCTCCTCCTTCTCCTACTCCTCCTCCTTTGCCTCCTCCTCCTCCTCTTCATCATCATCACCTGGGGGACTGGGGGAATGAACACTTCATGAGAAAGTGGAGAAGGGCTGGACATGTAGCGCGATTGCCTGAACACGACTGGGTTTGGCGAGTCACTGTGTGGAGGGACTCAGCGTGGCAGAGTGATATCAGGGATAGATGGTTGATACCGGTGCGGCCATCGATGCAACCCTGGATGAAATTTGAGCAGTCGTTGAGAAGATTCTGCATGCGGGGAGGGCATGGTGAGTCGCGGAAGGAATTATCTGGTGAATTCGCCTCGTGGGCGAGCGCGGCATAAGTCTCGTGCTGTTCCTTGATTGATTTTGCCCCACACCCAAAGTGGCTTTTTTTTTCTGCACACCCCCCGCGCAGGAGAACACACCCTCTCCTCTCACACACACACACACACACTTATCACCATCAACATCAGTAGCACCATCACCACATCATCATCAAATCAGTAGGAGCATCACCATCACTCACTCACTCACTCACGCAATCACTCATTCACTCACTCACGCACTCACTCATTCACACCTACTCACTCCTTGACTCATCATCATCATAATCATCATCGTCATCACTCACACACTCACACTCACATTCACCCACACACACACAGAGATCATCTTGATCACCTTGACCATCACTCGATCACACACTCACTCACCCACTCACTCATCATCTGCATCATCCTCATCATCATCACTCATTCAGTCATTCACTCACTCAGTCACCCACTCATTCGCTAGCTTGAATATGGGGGAAGCATCAGGCGGGAGCCTCGTCTGTAAGTGAACTGTGAGGAAGTTTCAGGCGAGAGCCCCCTCCCTATGGGGCCCGTACTTCGTGTTTTTAATCCGAGCGGGTCATCCTCGAACCTATAACTGTCGCCACGTTTGGGCTCCTGAAGGCTAAGTATAGGGGAAGTATCAGGCGGGAGGCTCGTCTGTGAGTGAATTGCGAGGCAGTCTCAGGCGGGAGCCCTCTCCCTCGGTTCGTCTGTGAATGAATTGCGAGAAAGTCTCAGGCGGGAGCCCTCTCCCTATGGGGCCCGCACTTCATGTTTTGAATCCGATCGGGTCATCCTCGAACCTGTAACCGTCGTCACTTTGGGGCTCCTAAGGCCTGAATATGGGGGAAGTATCCGGCGGGAACCTCGTCTGTAAGTGAACTGTGAGGAAGTCTCAGGCGGGAGCCCCCTCCTTATGGGGCCCGAACTTCATGTTTTTGTCCGAGCTGGTCATCCTCGAACCTGTAACTGTCGTCACTTTTTCCCCACATGTTTCGTGGGGTTCTGGTTTTCTTCCTTCCCGCGTCGCACCCGCGTCTCCTTCTCCTCCTTTGCGGGCTCGCAAACCGTGGCAGGCGTGGCACAGCTCAGCAGAGCACAGCACAGCACAGCACAGCACAGCACGCACCAGTCGTCCAGACATAGCAAGCGTGGCATTTTCTCGATACCAACGGGGGTGCGCCGGGGGTGGTTCCCCTATCCGCGCCAGTCGTCCAGGACATTGCAGGCGTGGCGCTCTCTCGATACCCGAGGGGGTGCGCAAGGAGTGGTCTCCCTATCCGCGACGGTCGTGACGGGCATAGCAGGGGTGGCACTTTCTCGACACCATAGAGGGTGCGCAGGGGGTGGTCTCCCTATCCGCGCCGGTCGTCCAGGGCATAGCAGGCGTTGCGCTTTCTGAACACCACAGGGGGTGCGCAAGGAGTGGTGTCCCTATCCGCCGGTCGCCCAGGCATAGCAAGCGTGGCACTTTCTCGATGCCATACGGGGTGCGAAGGGGATGGTCTCCCTATCCGCGCCGGTCGTCCAGAGCAAAGCAGGCGTGGCGCTTTCTCGATACCACAGGGGGGGTGCAGGAAGTGGTTTCCCTATCCGCGCTGGTCACTCAGGGCATAGCACGCGTGGCATTTTCTCGACACCATACGGGGTGCGCAAAGGGTGGTATCTCTATCCGCGCCAGTCGCCCACGGCATTGCAGGCGTGGCGCTTTCTGAACACCATGGGGGGTGCGCAACAAGTGGCCTCCCTATCCGAACAGGTCGTCCACGGCATAGCAGTGGTGGCACTTTCTCGACATCATATGAAGTGCGCAAGGGGTGGCCTCCCTATCCGCGCCGGTCGTCCAGGGCATTGCAGGCTTGGTCGGCACCGTAGGGGGTGCGCAAGGAGTGGTCTCTCTATCCGCGCTGGTCATCCGCGCCTGTCGTCCTGGGCAACTGGTTGTGCGGTTGTGGGGTTCCTCGTCGGCGAACTGGGCTTCCGAAGCCTGGATATGGGGGAAGTATCAAGCGGGGGCCTCGTCTGTGAGAGGGTTGCGAGGAGTCTCGGGCGGGAGCCCTCTCGTTATGGGGCCCGTACCTAATGTTTTTTTTATCCGAACGGGTCATCCTCGAACGTGTAACTGTCATTTCGTTTGGGTTCCTGAGGCTTGAATAGGGGGGAAATATCAAGCGGGAACCTCGTCTGTAAGTGAACTGTGAGGAAGTTTCAGGCGGGTGCCCCCTCCCCATGGGGCCAGCACTTTATGTTTTGAATTCGATCGGGTCATCCTCGAATGTGTAACTGTCGTCACTTTTGGGCTCCTGAGGCCTGAATATGGGGGAAGTATCAGGCGGGAGCCTCGTCTGTAACTGAACTGTGAGGAAGTTTCAGGCGGGAGCCCTTCCCTTTGCGCTTTTCAGACGGCGATTCGCCCGACCCATCAGGTGAGGAAGAGGAGGCACAAGAGGTGAGGACGACGACGGCGGCTGGGCGCAGGGGGGAACCCTTGCGTCCGGGCTGGGGGTGGTAACCCATCCTCGGTCGAAGCGGGGGCAGGGGGGAACCCTTGTCTCCTGGCTGGCGGTGGTAACCCATCGTCAGCCGAATCTGGGGCAGGGGGAAAACCTTGTCTGTGGGCTGGCGGCGGTAACCCATCGTCAACCGAATCGGGCGCCAAGGGGAACCCTTGCGTCCGGGCTGGGGGTGATAACGCATCCTCGGCCGAATCAGGCGCAGCGGGCAATCTCCGAGCTGGCGGTGGTAGCCCATCGTCAGCCACATCGGGCGCAGGGGGAAGCCCTTGCGTCCGGGCTGGCGGTGGTAAACCATCGTCAGCCGAATCGGGCGCAGGGAAACCCTTGCGTTAGGGACTAGCTCGGTGCCTGCGGGATTGTCCCAACGGCTTGCTACCACGCCCCAGCGGCTCGCGCGGTTGTCCCAACGGTCTAGCCCGCGGGATTGTCCAAACGGCCGCGCGACGCGGCCACTCAAGAATGCGCCCGCTCTGGCCGAAGCGGCGACGGCGTCGAGGAAAATCGACGCGCGCGCTCTTACAATAGACAGGAGAGGAGGTGGTGGGTGACGAAACAAACAGCAGGAGGGCGAGGCAAGGGCAACGCGGGAAGGATTTTCATGCGGGGTCTTTCCATCGGAGTAATTGCTGCTGCACTGTAGAAAGCTGTCCTGCCCCCCGCGGGCCTCCTGAGTTAGGGCTTCACGCTTCACGATTCCTCTTCCTCATTA